GCAAATGCCCTTGTTACCCCCGTTCGTTGACACAAAGCACTCTTTACCCTGTTCTGTGACAAATGACACCTTTAGCCCGTTCTGTGACAATGAACTCTGTTAGCCCCGTTTGTTGACCCAATCATCGTTTGCCCTTTTTGGCCCCCAAAATTCATCTGTTAGCCCGTTTCCGCTCGACGAATGAACTCTGTTGCCCGTTCTGCTAAAACATACCCTGTTTGCCCTTTTTTGCTTGACCAAGCATCGTTACCCTGTTCTGTCGACACAAGACACTGTTAGCCCCGTTCTCTCCAAAAGACTATTTTTTAGCCCCGTTCTGGACCCAAAAGACCACCCTTTTACAAACCACTCTGTAGCCTGTTCTGCTTGACCAATCCCCCCCTTTTTAGCCCCTTTTTGTGACAAATGAAACTCTGTTGCCTGTTCTGCTTGCAAATGCCCTCTGTTTCCCGTTTTTTGAACATGCATTTTTAGCCCTTTTTTGGTGCAAATTTCACTGTTAGCCCCCTTCGCCGACAAATGAATCTGTTACCCTTTGTACAAGACATTGAGTTTTTGTTTACCCCCCCCGCTTTTTAAGGGGCCTTTCGCGGGAAAAATTTTTCCCCCCCCCCCCCCGCCCCTTAAATTTCCCCCCTTCTCTCAAATCCCCTTACCCCCCCCACCCCCCCCCCAACCCCCCCTTTTTCCCCCACAAAAACCCCCCCCCAAAACCCCCCCACAAAAACCCCGAAACCCCCCCCCACACACCCCCCCCCCCGCCCCCACCAACCCCCCCCCCGCTACAACCCGCCCCCAAACCCCCCCCCCACACCCCCCCGTTTAAAAACCCCCCGCCGCAATAAATTTTTTACCCCCCCCCCAAAACCCCCCCCCCCCACACCCCCCCCCCCCCCCCCTAAACCCCCCCCCCACACACCCCCCCCTTTAAAAACCCCCCCCCACACACCCCCCCCCCAAAAACCCCTCCCTTTCACACCCTCCCCCCCACACACCCCCCCCACACCCCCCCCCCACCAAAAACCCCCCCCCCACACACCCCCCCCCAAAAACCCCCCCCCCCACCCCCCCCCCCCCCCAACCCCCCCCACACCCCCCCCCCCCCCACAACCCCCCCCCACACACCCCCCCACACCCCCCCCCCCCTCCAAAATTTTTTAAAAACCCCCCCCCAAAAACCCTACAACCCCCTCCCCACCCCCAACCCCCCCTCCACACCCTCCCCCGACCCACCCTCCCCAAAAACCCCCCCCACACCCCCCTCCTTTCACACCCTCTCTTCTCTTACACACCCCTCTCCCACAAACCCCCTTTCTTCCCCCCACCCCTCCTCTCTTTCACCCCTCTCTCTCTCCACCACCCCTCTCCTCTTACACCCCCCCTCCTTTACCCCAAACCCCCCCTTTCCCCCTTTCACACCCCTCTTCTCTACACACCCTCTCCCCCCACAAACCCTCTCCCTCAAAAACCCCCCTCTCCTCAACACCCTTTTCTCTTACCCAAAAATCTCTCTTTCCCAAACCCCCCCCCCTTTTTTACCCTCCTCCCTCCCTTTTTTACCTTTTTCCCCCCTTTTTTCCTTCCCCCCTTTTTTTCCCCTTTTCCCCTTTCCCCCGTTTCTCCAAAATTGGCTTTAAATTTTTTTAAACCCCTTTTCCCCCTTAAAAATTTTATGGGGCCCTTTAACAATTTTCCCTTTACCTTTCCCTTTACAACCCTTTTTTTTACCAAATTTTTTTTTCCCCCTTTAAAAAGTTTTTTAAAAAATTTTTTAAACCCCCACCCCTTTTTTTTTTTACACAATTTTTTCCCTTTCTTAAAAAATTTTAAAAGGGTTTTTTTTTTTTTTTTTTTTTTTTAAAACCCTTTTTAAAAATTTCTTTTCCCCCTTTTTTTTTTTTTTTTTTTTTTTTTTTCTTTCCCCTTTTCCCTTCTTCCCCTTCCGTCGTTCCCCTTTTCCCTTTTTTTTCCCACTTTGGGGGGGAAAGGGAAGGTTAAAATTTAGTTTCTAGGCCCCTTTTTGGCCAATTTTTTTAAAATGACCCCCCCTAAAATGTTCCACCGGGGGGGCGTGTTTGAATTTTTTCAATTTGACGTTTTTAAAATTTCCTCCCGTTTTTGGGGTTTTTTAAATTTTTGATTTTTTTCTTTCTGTTTTGGTTTTGGGGTTTTTTATAAAAACAAGTAAATTTTAAAAATTCTTTTCCCCTTGACCGGCCTAGCCTTTTTTTGCATATTTATGTTTGGAAACTAAAAACCCCCTTTACAAATAATGGGTTTTTTGTAAAACCCCGGTTCCATGGGGGGCGGTTTTATCAAAAATGGTTTTTCTTTTCCTTTTCCCCCAAGGGGGGGGGGGGGGGGGGGGGGGGGGGGGGGGGGGGGGGGGGGGGGGGGTGGGCCAAATGTAACGTTTTTTTTCCAAGCTTTTTAAAGCTCCCCTCTTTTTTTCCCCAAACTAGTGGCTCTCCTTTCTGTTTCTCATGGATCGAGCTTGGTACATTGTGCATACAGCATTTATTTGTTTGGCCAATAGATAGCTAAAGAAACCATTTACAAAGTGAAGTGGAATAGTATGTAATAGTTGTCACAGGTACTTTAGAGGGTATTTTCTGGTTTAACACTCACCTTATTGGTGGAACCAGATCTCTCTCTGCATCTTTGTTTAGATGTGTGTGTGTGTGTGTGTGTGTGTGTGTGTGTGTGTGTGTGTGTGTGTGTGTGTGTGTGTGTGTGTGTGTGTGTGTGTGTGTGTTCATTGAGAGTGATTTGTCGTATTTGACAGGTGTGTAAAGGGACTCTTCAATTTTAATGAGACCAATGCATCGCTTCTCCCTGTGTCCCTGTGTTCCACGGTGTGCGTAGGCAGCTAACAGAATGAATGCAACAACTGTCACGGATTCTGCCGAGACTGCCCTTCCTTCTGGTTCGGGCAGGCTTCTGCGTTCGTCGTCACCGGAATTCTAGCTGCTGCCGATCTATGTTTCATGTTTCTATGTTCATCTGGTTGTTGTCTAGTGTTGCACCTGTTTCCCATTATGGTATTATCTCCTTCCCTATTTAACCTGTACCCTCCACTGTGTGTTGTGCGTGTTTGTTACTTGTTTCGAGTGACGTTTGTGAGCGGGTTTGCTCCTCCCTGTGTTGGAGGTTTTGCTTGGTTCTTTACTATACAGTAAAGTAGATTTTCATTTCATTCTGTGTCCTGCGCTTGACTCTGGCCTACCGCATTCCACAGACATTCATGACAACAACCAGCATTCTAATGTATTCTGTAATACATATTCAATTTTCCCTTTGAGTCAAGCAGGTCTTAGTCCCTATTTTTGTTGCGCTGATATTCCACCCTGGGTTCAGGAAAGGTTGCGAGGACTTCCAGGGTCATGGACTCAACATAATGGTGTTGGTTGCTAGATTAAAACACAGTTTGGATTTCCCAGGGGCTGGGCACATGTATCTATGTTCTAAAATGTTTTCTTTCATCCCTCAAGACATCAGGCTCTGTAACGTCCAAGCTAGTGTCTCTCTCTCTCTCTCTCTCTCTCTCTCTCTCTCTCTCTCTCTCTCTCTCTCTCTCTCTCTCTCTCTCTCTCTCTCTCTCTCTCTCTCTCTCTCTCTCTCTCTCTCTCTCTTTGAGTCCTCCTGTATAAATTAAGAATCATACCAAATACATCCATCCAAGGTGTCGTTAGTGATGTTTCAGGTAGCTTTTAAAAAAAGACAACGAGATGTGGCCTTTTATCTAATACCATCTGCTTTCCATACTCTACTCTACCCTACCATCCATCAGAAGCATCCCTTCCCCAAGGGTATATAAGAGCAGGCAAACTCTGACTCCTTCTATTGTGAGCTGTACATACCCCTGTGTACAGACAGTCCGTATTCACACACACCTGAGAGTACTTAGCCTCTCCACCACACACATACAGTAAGAGACCCTGTGGTAAGAGGTGAAGCCAGAGGCAGGAGACTCACTGGAGAAACAAGCTGAAGACTTTGGTTCCTGACCACAATGCACTTGAGACAAGGGTAAGATTCATGAAATTACTTTGGAAATTACTTTGTAATACTTGAATTAAATGTTTTGTATTGAATGTTACTTTTGTCTCGCTTTTTTGTGTATAGTTTATTTATTGTATTATATTTAATATGATTAATTTACACTGCTCTCTGGTGTCTTTGAGATTGCTTATGTTTTTAGGCAGAAGAAAAGTCACCAAAAAATTGAAGAAATAGAGTACGCCTAGTATAAATAATATTGACAGCAATTTAGCACTTATTTCGTAATACAGCACATTACTAGGTTACAATTCAAATGTATATAATGTATCACAGTGCATGTTGATTTCTGGAGTGTGTGATGTGAGTGTTAACGCAGTAACCCATTGATGTATAATTCAGTGAGAATATCTAGTGTACTGATAGCGTGTTTGCATTATATGCTAGACAATTGGTATATGAGAAGGTACTGAGTTTATCTAGTAAAGTAGGAGTTTAAAGTGTGTGACCTTCATTATTTCACTGAGTGTAAATGTGAAAGTAATATTAAAAGAGTGAGTAATCTCTCGTGAACAGACTGCGTAAGCACAAATGGTACCGTTGATCTGGCATGACACAACAGGATGCATGAGATAACGAGCAACGTTAGTTCTGGTGGGTTTTTCCGTCACTGGCTATTTGGACAAATCATGATTTCGCAGGTGTTAGCATCTTTCGAATTTCGGAAGAGGATGGGACATTCGGCCCGTAACTTGCAAAGAGAGAGGGTGGAGCTCTTCGTTCTGGTTCCAATCCTCATTTTATCTCTTCTTTTAACACGTATGGACCCAGAACTTAATCAAGCATCTGACCAATTATACAAGACTTTAGTTCTGGGTTATCCGAGATTAAAGAGTGAGTGAATATGAATGTACTGTATCACAAGAGAATAAAACACTAATATGTTTTCTTCCGATTGGCTGGCTGGTGTTGGTTGGTGGGCCAGTCGAGTGGATTTAAGGATGGCTGGTTTGGCTCCTCCCGCTGCCTCACGCCTCACCCTCCTGCTGCTGACCATAATGGCCATGACTCTGGTGACCTCCAGCTACCCTCAGCCATGCCTCCGACCCATACACAGGTAAGACTCACTCAGTGTCCCAATTACCTGTCCTTCCTCCCTGTAAGACAGAAGTAAGACAGAGAGTGAATCCTCATTCTTCCCGTCCCCTATCTTTCATCTTCTCCACGGATTGAGGACAGAACTTGTTTCTTCTGACATTTTGAAAAGGAGGCGAGGTGAGTCGGTCGAAAGAGGTCATGAGGAACAAGTAAACAATTTAGAAATTCACCCAGATAGTCCATCCTGTTTCTCCCCCTTTTCCCCAAAAGTGTGAGCTCCTTCATCTTCATCTTGACTCCTGAACAGCTAATCATGGCTACCCGGACTATTTGCACTGCCCCCCCACCCCATCTTTTTACGCTGCTGCGTCTCTGTTAATTATTTATGCATAGTCACTTTAACTCTACCCACATGTACATATTACTTCAACTACCTCAACTAGCCGGTGCCCCCGCACATTGACTCTGCACCGGTACCCCCCTGTATATATAGCCTCCCTACTGTTATTTTATTTTACTTCTGCTCTTTTTTTCTCAACACTTTTTTTGTTGTTGTTTTATTTTACTTTTTTATTAAAAATAAATGCACTGTTGGTTAAGGGCTGTAAGTAAGCATTTCACTGTAATGTCTGCACCTGTTGTATTCGGCGCATGTGGCCAATAAAATTTGATCTGATTTTGATTTGATTTGATCTTTATCTACCCTTTTACTGTTGTAATTTGAGACTAAGACACCATGGTAGTGAGATCAATCTTTCTATGGTAGTGAGCACTATTGTTCCTGTAATTGTAGTGAGTTCTATCAATAGAAATGGTTCTATCGTTCCTACTGAGATCCATTGTTCTTATATGGAAGAGTTCTATATATAGAAATGGTTCCTCGTGAGATCCATTGTTCCTATATGGAAGTGAGTTCTATCATTCCTGTTCTTCTGTCTGCTTCCAGAGGCACCCCTCCAGGCGATTCAGGAGACTCCAACAAGAGGGAGGAGTGGGAGGTTCTCTGGCCCTCCATCTCGCTCCGTGATTGGAGCATTCAGATGATGTCAGCCCAAGACCTTGGTGCGGCCAAGAGCAAGGCAGAGCTCCTGGGGGAGCAGTGGCTCCCAATGGTGGGCCAGTCGCAGATGGACGAGGACATGGCCAATGGCTGGCTGGGTGACTGGGCTCTGCATGAGGAGAAGAGGAACATCGTGGTGGCAGATGATGCAGTGTTCAGGGAGAAGAGTAAGCTGTTAACCACCATTGAGAGACAGAAGTGGCTTATCTCCTATATGCAGAAACTTTTTGGTCGTCAACTCCCAGTAGTAAGATGACTGCTAAGCCTGTACATAAATAACGTACCCTGATTTCAACAAAACAATTCATAGCGTACCCTGATTTAAATAATTACGTTTTCTTTCCGAATTTAAAAGTCAATAAAGATATTTATCAGATCTTTATGTGATGTTTGATGAAGGATAAACTCTGAATGTGGAGCATCAATTGACACAGGATTTTTACATGCATTTGTTTACATGATTGTTTTGATCCAGTTCAATTGTTGATTGAACTAATAAATACATTGAGAGACTTCCATTGCGATGGTGCCATCGTTGTTCAGCTGTGGGTCTACCATGGGGCTGTTCATAATGAGGAAATCAAGCAAACGATTGATCATTGTATTAATATGGTTATTGTTCCTCCATGGTTCCTATGTTCTTATGTTTAAAATTTTTTTTTGGGTCATATGGAAATTCACACGTTTTTTTTAGCTGATGCACTTAACTGATGGTCTCTGCAGTCTGGTGGAAGGTGTAAGGCAGAGGTGTCAAACTCATTCCATGGAGGGCCTAGTGTCTGCGGGTTTTTGGTTTTTCCTTTCAATTAAGACCTAGACAACCAGGTTAGGGGAGTATCTTTACTAATTAGTGACCTTAATTCATCAATCAACTACAAGGGAGGAGTGAAAACCTGCAGACACTCTGCCCTCCGTGGAATGAGTTTGACACGTAATGTAATATACAGCAGGGTTAGGGTAAATTGAAAAGCAGTTTGTAATTTACTTCTCAAAGGGACCTGCGGCCAGAATTCAACCTGAGGCGGGTTGCAGGGTGCTTGATTTGAAGGTCAATTCCGAATGAGCCGACATCTGCGCGGGAACATTGACTTTAAAAGGTGCATTGTCGACAGGACTCTACAACGCGCTTCGCATTGAATCCCGGCCTGAATTGTGTGCACACGTGTGTGTGTGTGTGTATGTGCGCGTGTGTGCGCGTGTGTGTGTGTGTATGTGTGTATGTGCACGTGCCTGCGTGCGTGCGTGTGTGCGTGCGTGCGTGTGTGTGTGTGCGTGTGTGTGCGCGTGCCTGCGTGTGTGTGTGTGTGTGTGTGTGTGTGTGTGTGCGTCTAGGGGAGCACAAACCCTTAGCTAAGAACTTGGACAGCAGATGATGATCTATTCCCCCAACATCCAAGTTATGATGTGTTAAAAATTGAATATTTTAATAAACTTATGATGAGAAAATAAATGGGTGCCGAAGCTAAATACACCAGCCTGACCCCATTACTTTTGGAGAGTGGACCATTAATTTGGTAATGCGGCAGACCTGTGATTTATGAGTTAATATCTCTCTCTCTCTCTCTCTCTCTCTCTCTCTCTCTCTCTCTAATGTTTATTATCATGTTTTACATGTGCTTATGACAATATAGGCAGACTTGTGGCTATAATAAGCAGAGAGCTGTCATTCAGCAATGATGAGCCCTGTACGTGTGTTTGTGTGTGTTTTTCTGTATGTGTGCGTGAGTGTGTGCCTGAGTGTGCATGTGTGTGTGCGTTTATGTGTGTGTGCATTATAGATTAAAAAAAAAGAGAAATGCCATGGCAGCCGCGGGGCAATTTAGAAGTAGCCCAAAAACCTGCATCCCGCGACCAATACATTTTCACCCCTTCAAAATCGTTATCAAAGTAGCCCAGTTTCAGGAAAACTGCAGACATGGCAACCTTGGATGGGGCTTTCTTGCACTATAAGACTCCGAACCCCAAGACAAGTCTGTTGGAACCGGTCCAGAACTGCTCAAAGTCCCCCAAATAGGGGACTTAACATATAAGAGTTAAAGATTAAGGCTTGCCTCTTCATCTGTCCTGTTTGGATATCCGTTTTGTAGTCATCTGCAACAATGCTCATTGGTTATTTCTTGTCTAGGGTCCAAGGGGAAGTGGCCATAGAATCAGAATCAGCTAGAGACCCAGAGACCCGGCTAGCTCTCTGCTCTGCTGTGATAGATAAGTAGATCCAGGACAGCAGAGACTATTATTTATCACCGGACCCAGTGGTGCTACCTGGCAGACTCACCCAATCGGCAGACTCTAAATTGCTTTCTGCAAACCAATAATTCCCCTCCATTGATGCTGCTTCTCTATCCTACTATACGGTACCCTTTTTTTCTTATTGCTGTAATCTGTTCCCTCTCCTGGCCATGTTACTGTATGACCTCCCCTGGTCGTCTTTTTCATACTCCTTGGCCACAGCACCCAAATACTTATTTACAGGAACTAAGTAAGACTTCAGCATCTTATTGTGCATTTTGCATGGTACTGTATAGCCTGGGACATGGTACTGTATAGCCTGGGACATGGTACTGTATAGCCTGGGACATGGTACTGTATAGCCTGGGACATGGTACTGTATAGCCTGGGACATGGTACTGTATAGCCTGGGACAGTACTGTATAATCGTCTGTCCTCGGTCGCAACACTCACTACCGAGTTCCAAACTGCCCCTGGAAGCAACGTCAGCACAAGAACTGTTAGTCGTGGGCTTCATGAAATGGGTGTCCATGGTCGAGCAGCCGCACACAAGCCTAAGATCACCATGCGCAATGCCAAGCATCGGCTGGAGTGGTGTAAAGCTCGCCGCCATTGGACTCTGGAGCAGTGGAAACGCGTTCTCTGGAGTGATGAATCACGCTTCACCATCTGGCAGTCCGACGGACGAATCTGGGTTTGGCGGATGCCGGGAAAACGCTACCTGCCCAAATGCGTAGTGCAAACTGTAAAGTTTGGTGGAACAGGAATAATGGTCTGGGGCTGTTTTTCATGGTTCGGGCTAGGCCCCTTAGTTCCAGTGAAGGGAAATCTTAATGCTACAGCATACATTACATTCTAGAAGATTTTGTGCTTCCAACTTTGTGGCAACAGTTTGGGGAAGGCCCTTTCCTGTTTCAGCATGACATTGCCCCCGTGCACAAAGCGAAGTCCATACAGAAATGGTTTGTCGAGATCAGTGTGGAACAACTTGATTGGCCTGCACAGAGCCCTAACCTCAAAGCCACTGAACACCTTTGGGATGAATTGGAACGTCGACTGCTAGCCAAGCCTAATCGCCCAACATCAGTGCCCGACCTCACTAATGCTCTTGTGGCTGAATAGAAGCAAGTCCCCACAGCAATGTTCTAACATCTAGTGGAAAGCCTTCCCAGAAGCAGCAAAGGAGGAACCAACTCCATATTAATGCCCATGATTTTGTAATGAGATATTCGACGAGCACTTTTGGCCTTTTAGTATATTCTGTTTCCACCATAAAAAAAAAGTTAAGACATTGTGTATCTCTCAGCTAAACACATCTATGGTAATTTGAATGTTGTTTGAGAGCTTGGTCTTTCATGTTTTATGCTAAATATTATGCATGCATGTTTCCTGCCAAAGAAAGAGCATATGGATTTTTCATTGTAGTTTTTTTAAGTAGAGTTTTATAAGGTATGTGTATCACACAAAAACAAGCACTCACCCCCCCCCCCCCCCCCCCCACCCACACCCACACACACACACACACACGCAATGCTACATAAGCACACACAAACACACACACACAAACACACAATGCTACATAAGCACACATACTAAGACACATTGAGAAACTATAAGGGCTGTGGACCCTCTTTATTATTCCATCTATATATAGTGCTGAGCTCAGGGAAACACAGAGGTGTTTCACCTAGTGCCCATATTAGGACAGCCTCTGAGTCACAAAGAGTGGGTATAGTCAGGGCCCGTATTCACAAAGTATCTCAGAGTCAGAGTGCTGAACTAGGATCAGGTCATTCCTCTAATTCATTATGATTTATAAGGCAAAACTGATCCTAGATCAGAACTCCTACTCTGAGATGCTTGATACATACGGGCCCAGGTGTCTGACACCACCTTCTTGTGACTCTAAGGATGTCCTAATATGGACACCATACATATGGTCTGGTCTCGTACTTTAAAAGCCTCACAGTAGCATGGTAATTGGATCCCTTTCTGAGAGGCTTACACCTAATAAGCAGCTTTACCCATCCTCCATCCCTCCATTCCTCCCACCCACCACCCCCGACACACACTGCCGCTCTCCCCAGCCCTTTACCCATCCTCCATCCCTCCATTCCTCCCACCCACCACCCCCGACACACACTGCCGCTCTCCCAAGCCCTTTTCCTCCCACTCCCACCCTCCCTCCCATCTTTCTTTCTTTCTCTCTAACTCACTCCCTCTCTCTCTTCTTGCTTTCTCTTCCACCGTCCACCCCTCCCTCTCTTTGTTTCCCTCTAACCATCCTCACTCTGAAATTCCTCAAATGAATGCTGCTTCAATGACAGTGTATATATATATATACACTGTATGTATGTATGTGTATATATATATATATATATATATTTAAAATGACAAAGAGAATTACAGCATTACACCATCACTTAAAAACATTGTCTTGGAATTACAAAAAATCCCAGTGAGTCAAAAAGGACAAGGAGTTTACAGGAGACCTGGGTTCAAATACTACTGGAAATCTTTCAAAAACGTTTAATGTTTGCTCTAGCCTGCCTGGAGTGCCAGATGGGTGTGGTTTTCAGTATTGCCACTATTCAATTGGTTCCATTGTGCCAGGCAAGCTCAATCAAGTCCAGAAAGAGTATTTGAAATTATTTTGAGTAGTATTTGCACAAAGGTCTGGTTAACTGGTAGACTATAAGCTCCTGTCAGCTGAGCTGGGCTTTGTATCTGAGGTCACCAGTATGTGTCTGTCTGTCTGCTAGTCCACCATAGAGAAGTATAGAAACACACACAATAAAATAGAAAAACACATCAGTCTTTATCAGAATGATCTCATCAGTTCATCTGGTAGGCTGGCTGGCAAGGCGCTGGGCCGTTTTCCTGAGCTGGAGCGGCCTCAGTGAAACATGGTGTTTCTTTCTGCTTCTGCCACCCCATAGGACGGGAACAGTCTTGGTTGGGGTCATACTGAGCTCTGAGAAGTCTAGTCCAGTCTAGCTGTGCCCAGGGTCAGACACTTGCCACCATTTTCACACTACTGAGCCAAGCTAAGCCAAGCTGTACTGCACTGGTAGTTGCTGGAAAGCACAGTGTGAAAGAAAAATACCAAAGACATCACAGCATGGATCCGCTCGGCATTACAGTGTGAAAAGGATCTAACTATCCATGGGCGAGGGTCATGTGTCTATGACCTCGGTCGGTGAGAGTTCATCGGGGAGGCTAGTGGTGGCATTGGGTAAGGTCTGGTTGTGCCCGTGGCTGTGACCCACAGAGTTCCCTTGCTGCAGCTCTAATGCTATACCTGCCATGCTAGGGTCCTGTGGAGGGAACTCCTTCACCTGCCTCCTGTACTCCAGAAACGTACAGGCCTTCGTGGCTATGGCCACCACGTTCTTCCCTATGAAAATTGTGGAAACCCTACTATCCTGGAACAGCACCATGTTGACCCCGCGGATCAAGATAGTCACTATGTTTATAGTAACGAGACTAAGAACAGGGTACAGCATCATCTTCTGAGGCGAGACGTGTTCCCCCTGGACACTGATCTCAGAGAGGGATACGCAGGGCAGGATAAGGAGGAGGATGTAGCAGTAGAAGAACATCAGTCCCTCGGCCCAGATGGGCAGGCCCGTCCGCTGGGGCTCCCACAGGTTGGCCTGGATGTCCAGAACATCCAGCAAGTCCAGGGCCACCCAGAACAGCCTCCCCCGCATGTCCTCCTTCTTCCGGAAGGTTCTCACGTACTCCATGCTGTCCAGAGCCACAAGGACCAGGTACAGCCCCGGGACGCACACAGAGAGGAGTAAGGTTAGAGCCTTCCGGGCCACTGTCTCCAGGCTCTTCCTGTCCGCCTTGTAGTTCTAGAAGATATAAGACATTCTTTGTTGTTAATTGTCAGAGAGATATTGAAATGTGTCTTTTTCAGGATCTCTGTCAGTATCCAGCCCTGTCAAGTCCCGACATTAAACTATGAGATCAGGTTGCAGCATCCCCTCCCCGCCCCCCAGCCAATACACACACATACACACCCCACGGTTAGCCACAGTGCAGCGTCCCTGGAGCAGTTTAGGGGCGAAGTATCCTGCTCAAGGGTACAACGAAAGGAGATGGTATCTGGGATACTGATGCCAGCAACACTCCAGTTGCCGGCTGTAATGGCAATATTTAAGATGAATAAAGTTAATATTCAGTTTAGAGTGTTTAATGCAATGTTTAGCATATTTCTATATCTTCCCTTTCTGTACTACACATGATTTCCAGCGTTCTGTTTGTAACACTCGGGTTGATGGTCACTAGACTAGATGTTATGGATTAAACTAATATCTGCTGATAGTGATTGACGCCAGACTGGAGGTGCAAGGACTGAGGACACTGATAATCATTTTATTATGTGAAACACTGTGTGATTCTTTTGCAGCTGACAGTCAATGTCTTTTGTTTGGACTTCCAGAAGCCTCTCTGGCTGGTGTTTAAGGTACACTTGGTGCTGTCTGATTAGGATATTAAGGGTCTCCAAGAGGCCAGTTAGAAATGTTCTATGCATCTGTTCTGGAGGTGTCTCCCTGAATTCTTGTAATTAAACCGTATTGATTTTGAATGACTTCATCAATGACTGCTCTCCTTTTTGTTCACCTGGAAAGTCCTATTACACCGGCCCACTCCCCACCAGATTTTCCCCGGTAGGCACTGGTATTGGAACTCATGACCCTCTGGTTTCTGGCCCAGCCGTCTCCCTACCTGGAAGACGAAGTAGAGCTTGATCTCCAGGACAAAGATATAGAGGAACCAGAGGATCATGGCGTAGCCGCGACGGGCGGTCTTCACCTCAGCCCCGACCCAAACCGCCACGTAGCGCAGCACGATGAGGAAACAGATGTCTCCCACCAGCACGATGATGCACACCCCGATCTACAAATACACATCATACTTCATTTACCTAACATTAAAATCGCAAAACAGTTTCTACAGTAAAACAATATATTGAAATAAATAAAAAGCAAACAATTGAAAGGCAATGAAAGAGATGAAAAAAAAAAAAAAAGGATGTCAAAACAGTAAAATCACTGATTAAAAGGCCAACTTTAAATAATTTTGTAATTCAAAGCTACAGTCTACGAATGGTACATCTATTTTCGGACTTTTAAATTAATGATGTATAGTTTTATTCTTTTTTGAATCACAGACTACAGCTTAATAAAAAAATGTTTAAGGCCTCTTACCTTCCTGGGCCCCTGGTTCTGCTCTACCAGGTAGGCGTCCATAAAGGCCATGCTGGTCATGATCACCATGGTGGTCAGGCACACGTGGCGCTTGTCTGGCTGCGGCAACACCATGGTGGGTAATGGGGGTTGTAGTTTTACAGAGCTGAACTTCCTGTTGTAGTCCTCCAAAACAAAAGTTGCAGTTTACAGTTTTCTCAGTCAGTTATTTTAGGGGCAAAAGTCAAGTGTACCTGATCAATCCCAACTAAATTAACAGATACATTCAGATTTTTTTACATTGTTGAAAAAAATGCACTTGGGATAATTGCATTGATATATTATGGTCTGTTTAAGCCATGCAGACTGGTGCATCCCCTATCTCAGCGCAGTTCCATTGAGTCTGCTGTGCTACTGCTGACATCAAGGTCTCACTACACAACTCCATAACCTGGGAATCCCCTCAGTAATACAATGAACATAGCAGTTGGGCTTTATTGCTCCATAGGAAAATGACAAATCCACGTATCTTCAGTTGTAGACTTTCTAGTGGCCGAGTCCTCACGGAAGGACCACGTCTATTGGTGTCAGCTGATCATGTGAGTCAGCATCAGTTAGCAGCATTTTCCTGAGGAAAATGTGTGTGCTTGCTTCAATTGTCCAAAGGTATCACTGTGTCTTCACTGTGGGGCTTCTAAAGAGAATCTACTGATGAGACAGGCCTCGGAGAGAGAGAGATGCGTAGTTCCTGTGATGAGTCCTGTACAAGTCCAGAGTAACTGTTTCTCCTCTGTCAGTCTGTAGAGTCTGGGGAGAGAGAACAGAATAAGTGGTTAGTTTAGCCCAATCTGTGTTCTAGTTGTATGCTGCGTCTAATCTCCTGTGATTACACACTGTTACAGCAGGGGGCAGTAGTATGACTTGGATTCATGTTATAAAGGTAACCACATACAGAAGACGATGGATACACACCTATGTGTGTATAACACACACACACACACACACACACACAATATATATATATATCCTGTGAAATTTCCATTTAGCTGAATTGCAAATATACGCCTGTGTTAATCCGGCTTAGTGGGCTGGCATTGGAAAAACTACAATAAAGGGAATGGAGAGTAGACTCAATAAACATGCCAATACAACCCCATACCTCCAGAGCTGCCAAACACTTCCACGTTCATTACCTTAAACCTTCTCAATATACTGTTACTGTCCTCTCTAGGTTCAGACTGGAAAGATAACACTCCCTTTTTCCACCATGTAATGTTCTTCAGGTATTCAATATTTCATACCAGTGTATTTCTTTGACCTTTGCATGATACTGTAAGTGGCTGCCGCCTGCTGTAACAGTAAAGTGAGGTACATCCAGGGCTTATCTAGTCCCTCCTCTTATTTTTTTGGGGGTTGCAAAATCAAGAATTTCCCGCAAATTAAGCGAGGGCTTTCAAATTTTACCCCACTATATACCTTCGTGTGACTGTCCTTGTCTATCAGTGTACCAGTGTTTTGTTACTTGTCATGTTTTGTGTTTTTTGTGGACCCCAGGAAAAAGATCTACTGTCTCTGCAAAAGCTAATGGGGATCCAAATAAACAAATAAACTCTTTCCGCATAAAACAGTCAAATCATTGCAATATTATTGCATACAACTTACCGCAGTTCAATAAGAGGGCTCTCAATTTCAACCACTCACCGCACATTTACTTCATAATATGGTTTAATCAAGCCACACGTCAACAAAACTTTTCCCTCGTCAGCTCGTTTCTGCCCCCAAATATCACAAAAAATCCCAGACACTGTTTATCTCCCAATACAGCTAATGCCATAAATAGAATAACTAGAATGGAAATCAAGTCCATTCTAGGGATTCTATTTCTATGTCTAACACTCACCAGGCAGTGCCTAGACCAGAGCTGCTGCTGGCTTCCATAGCAACCGCAGGCTTCTATTGAGGAAGTGTAATAATAAGGGATGATGAGCCTAAAGCAGCGGGGAGCCAGGGCCTTCTGGGAACAGAGAGATTATCACCACGAGTCACTGAGACTAGGAGGTGTGCGGAGGGAAGCGGAGAGGAGAGAAGAGCTATGTGTGTTAGAGAGAAGGACAGGAGGGGAGGAGTGTGGGGGTTTTGTGTGGGGGAGAGGAGAGGAGGAGAGGCAGAGGGGAGGAGAGGAGGAGAGGAGAGGAGGAGAAGGGCTAGACTGTGTGCTGTAGGGGAGAGGAGGAGAGGTCAGGGGCTATGCGGTTTGCAGAGAGGAGAGGAGCAGAGGAAGGAGAGGACCATCCTCAGTGAATTTCAGAAGAATGTAATAGCGAAACATTAACAAAGTTTTCCTTTTTAGATAAAGCTATACTAAATACAGTGGGGAGAACAAGTATTTGATACAATGCCGATTTTGCAGGTTTTCCTACTTACAAAGCATGTAGAAGTCTGTAATTTTTATCCTAGGTATACTTCAACTGTGAGAGACGGAATCTAAAACAAAAATCCAGAAAATCACATTGTATGATTTTTAAGTAATTAATTTGCATTTTATTGCATGACATAAGTATTTGATCACCTACCAACCAGTAAGAATTCCGGCTCTCACAGACCTGTTAGTTTTTCTTTAAGAAGCCCTCCTGTTCTCCACTCATGACCTGTATTAACTGCACCTGTTTGAACTCGTTACCTGTATAAAAGACACCTGTCCACACACTCAATCAAACAGACTCCAACCTCTCCATCAATGGCCAAGACCAGAGAGCTGTGTAAGGACATCAGGGATAAAATTGTAGACCTGCACAAGGCTGGGATGGGCTACAGGACAATAGGCAAGCAGCTTGGTGAGATGGCAACAACTGTTGGCGCAATTATTAGAAAATTGAAGAAGTTCAAGATGACCGTCAATCACCCTCGGTCTGGGGCTCCATGCAAGATCTCACCTCGTGGGGCATCAATGATCATGAGGAAGGTGAGGGATCAGCCCAGAACTACACGGCTGGACCTGGTCAATGACCTGAAGAGAGCTGGGACCACAGTCTCAAAGAAAACCATTAGTAACACACTACGCCGTCATGGATTAAAATCCTGCAGCGTAAGTAGGAAAACCTGCAAAATCGGCAGTGTATCAAATACTTGTTCTCCCCACAGTATATTAACCAAATAATTGATTAAAACACACTGTTTTGCAATGAAGGTCTACAGTAGCCTCAACAGCACTGTCTGTGTAGCACCATGGTGTAGCTGGAGGACAGCTAGTTTCCGTTTTCCTCTGGGTACATTGACTTCAATACAAAACCTAGGAGGCTCTTGGTTCTCATCCCCTTCCATAGACATACACAGTAATTATGACAACTTCCAGAGGACGTCCTCCAACCTATCAGAGCTCTTGCAGCATGAACTGACATGTTGTCCACCCAATCAAAGGATCAGAGAATGAATCTAGTACTGAAAGCATAAGCTACAGTGAGCTAGCATTGAGTGCAAAAAATGTGGTGAGTAGTTGACTCAAAGAGAGAGAAAGACAATAGTTGAACAGTTTTGAACAAATTAATTTATTCAAAAATGAAGTAGAAGCAAGAGAGAGAGTGAGAGAGAAATAGCTATATTTCATTGTATTTATTTCACTTTCACTTTTACTTACTTAGTTAGCGAATGCAGCCAGCTACACTAAAATGGCCAAAAGTATGTGGACACCTACTCATATCCCTGTCCAATGGGAAATGGAAAATGTGTTCAATTACCCTAATTTTGTAATCGATTCGGACACCCTTGATGGACTAATCAATGAACGTATCTGACCCCAGGGTGTATATCCTGGAGACCATGGGGAAGCACAGCTCCAGCACTGAGATGCTGCAGGAAATCAGGCAGATGATGACCCAGCTGAAGAGTTACCTTATCCAGAGCACTGAGCTACATAACCTACTGGAGCCTAATGTCTACACAGAGGACAAACTAGGTGAGATACAGTCTAACATGTTAGAGGCTAGATACAGTAACATAGTCTAGCAGTTGTAATCAAAGAGTTACTGCAGTTGGTAGAGCATGGCGCTTGCAATGGCAGGATTTTGGGTTCGATTCCCGGGGCCTGCGTAATTCTCCTTGATATACTCAACATTCATCTGTTAATACACAGCGTTAGACACATCATTCTCAAAACTCCTCTTGCTCCTTATTTTGAGACCCCCCCCCCCCCAGAAAGTAACATTTGATTTGTCTGATACAGTTTCTACCTGGCCGTGGCTATATTCATAATTGAATAATAGTAATAATATATTCCATTTAGCAGATGCTTTTATCCAAAGCGACTTACAGTCATGTGTGCATACACATTAACACTGTCTTTCACATGAATGCTTCAGTTCTCACTAATCTTCAAATTAACATGCCCACCATATTCAGTGTCCAACAGGACATTTGGCAAACAGGATGTTCCCCTTATTTACTGTCAAATAGGAGACAGTTGTATATCACAGTCTTCTCTCTGTGCGTGGGAAATTAGACTTTCTAGTGACACCTGTGAAATTACAACAGGGACAGACAACATGGTTGTTAGTGAGGGTTGCTACTGTTGACATTTGATGGCTTAATTGGGTTTAATATACAACTTATTTTGCCTCCAGCGTGCATGCTGAATGTCAGGTTTTCTTACACAGTGTACATATAAATATATATTCATGTGAGGATAATATTTATACTGATTTAATAATATACTGTAGTTTAGCCTACTCCAACACCCAGCTCAAACAGAGAGGGATGCTATGTTAGCTAGCTGGCTATGGCTATCCAACACTGGAACTCTTCCAAGTCAAAGTAAGCTTTTGGTTTTATAAATGTATTGCCACCTGGGTCTGCCAGTTTAACTGCTAAACTGCTTGCTGTACACTGTACTGCATGATTGTAGTGGGTTTACTAATGCGTTAGTTCTAGTAGCTATGTTGACTAAGACGTTAGCTAATATGGTGACAACGATGTAGGCTGTGTGTAGCGGTTAGCGGTTATGGTATGAAAGTTTGGCTTGGAAAGGTTTTTTCGCCTGTTCACAGACAGCTGTTGTGTTGTGCATTGAAGTCCAGAAGCGAAGGGAAAAGGTGAGAGGAGGAGAGCGTGTAGATGCGAGCAAAGTGATCATGCTGAAATACTAATTAATTGGAATTGAAATGGAATTGATCCCAAACCATGCTGAACAGCATTACCTGAATGAAAACCACCCATTAATTTGCTTGTAGCTGAAAGTCTGTTTTCCTGCTATTGACTTTGTTTCATAAGCATTCCAATAAAGCTTGTTTGATGCATGAACACATATTTCATCACGAAATTGCCTTTTTAATATAATGTGGAAAACAACTTTCGGCTGGCTCTGAAATTGGCGTCTGGGGTAATACGGCTGCTTGTTTATTTATCACACATTGAAGCAGATATAGAGACAAACTCACATTTGGAGGAGATGGTGCTGCAGTGGATAGCAGCCGTGTTATGGGCTCCTGACCAATTCTGCTATTTTGTGTGTGCTTTTCTTAACTTTTTTTGTACATAATGTTTCCGCCATCATTTCCTATGACAGAAAACAGCTTATGAACATTTCTACTTCAACGAGTAGGCATCTCTGGATGTACTGCTCGTTCCGCAACAGGCCCTAATCCCCGGGACTCGAAAGAGGAAGAGACGGCGCAAGAGAGGCAAATGAGCGGGCATCCTGATGTCGGAAACTAAATAAACCGCCTCTACCCTCCATTCTATTGGTGAATGTACAATCACTAGAATACAAAGTGGAAAAGCTCAGTTCTAGACTATTCTATCAACGGGACCTGAAGAACTGTAATATCCAAGTTTCGCGGAGTCATTGCTGAACAAGGACATGGATAATATACATCAGGCTGGTTTTTCTATGCATCGTCAAGACTGTACGTCAGCCTTGGGTAAGGTTAAGGGGGAGGGGTGTGTAACTTTCTCAACAACAGCTGGTGCGCGATCTCTAATGTTAAGGAAGTCTCTAGTTTTTGCTCGCCTGAGTTAGAATACCTAATGATAAGCTGCAGACCATACTATTTACCAAAATAGTTTTAATCTATATTTTTCGTAGCTGTCTGTTTACCACCACAAACCGATGCTGGCACTAAGACCGCACTCAACGAGCTGTTTAGAGCCATAAGCAAACAGGAAACCGCTCATCTAGAGGCGGCGCTCCTAGTGGCCAGGGATTTTAATGCAGGGAAACTGAAATCCGTTTTGCCTCATTTTTACCAGCAAGTCACCTGTGCAACTAGAGGAGACAAAACTCTAGACCACCTTTACTCCACACACAGAGACACATACAAAGCTCTCCCTTGCCCTCACTTTGGCAAATCTGACCATAACTCTATCCTCCTGATTCCTGCTTACAATCCAAAACTCAAACAGGAAGTACCAGTGACGCGCTCAATAAGGAAGCGGTCCGATGAAGCGGATGCTAAGCTACAGGACTGTTTTGCTAGCACAGACTGGAAAATGTTCCGGGATTCATCCGATAACATTGAGGAGTTTACCACATCAGTCACCGGCTTCATTAATAAGTGCATCGACGACGTCATCCCCACAGTGGATACGTACATATGCCAACCAGAAGGATTACAAGCAACATCCACACTGAGAGACTGCAAGACTGTGGTCACGTGACAAGACAGCGTATTGAACACACAGCGGTGTGAATCACCTCAAGATAAAAACGCAATATTCAATATCAGTAAGTTAGACTAGATATTAGCACTTCATATACTCGTGGGTAATAACATTAAATCTGGATAATAACACAAAACAAATCATAAGGCTAGAGAAATATATCGACAAATATTACAACAACGAGCAACACTCAAACATGACGGAGGATAAACGAGGAGAGTCAATCTCCAAGAGAAACCGCGACTCCTCGACAGATACAGATTATTTATGCTTTTCACCACTTGGACAAGGTAAGTGTGGAAAGCGATCTGTTGAAGTCGATAAATGACAAACTGGGCATACTAGAATTAGTCACTAAGGATTTAAAGGAGTTGAAGGCGAGCCATGAAATGATTGACGAAAAACCTGTGATAATGGAGAAAGATACAAAAAAGCTAAAAGGGACAGTCACTAAGATAGAAACGGACGTTAATTAACTTAAAAAGGAGAACATCTTTCTGAGAGAAGCCTTACTAGACATACAAACTAGATCTATGAGAGAAAATCTAGTACTTACGGGTCTCCAAGAAAAAGAAGGAGAGGTTCCCGAAAAAATAGTGAAGGACTTCTTTCTTACGGCGCTTCAAATCCCACTCGAGGCTGTCGATAAAATCCAACTCAAACATTTCAGACAAAGAGGACAGAGATATGAGCGTCCAATCGTTGCCAAATTTGCTTTCTTTAAGGATCAAGTAATGGTTAAAAGCCTAGGTGAAAGACTTGCTGGCATGAAAATAGGCGTGAATGATCAGTTCCCGAGGGAGATTGCAGAACGGCGCAAAGTTCTGTACCCAATCTTCAAGGTAAATAGATTAAAAGGGAAGCGTGTTGCTCTCGTAGTCGATAAACTGTATATTGACAACCAAATGTTCCGCGACACAAAGACTACTCCATGGCTATTCTGAAAGTTCTAATGGTAGGGATTGTACTAATACTAGCCATGGTAGGGATTGTACTAATAAAACACATTTATAGTATTTATAGTATTTTATAAAGGGATAAGACGGCATTACAAGAAAGGATAACTAGTGAAATAATAAATCTTCAAATATAACTAATTAGAACACAAAAGTACTCAATCAACATAGTGGAGATAAAAACATAGCAAACAGAAGACATAGAAGGCACAGTATGTGGGTATGTGTGGATGTATTGTGATGGAAGATGTGGTGTGCGTTTTTGTGTTTGGAAAAGTGTGGCGTTAAGTGAGTGAGAAAGGAAATGGTTACATATTCCAGAACCAATTTGTGTCTGTGAGTAGGGGTTGTGAGAGAGAGCTTTCAATTTTGTGCAGATGAGGGATATACATTTTAAAATAAAGTATACATCTAATTTATTTTTTATTGTCCAATCATGATGGAACAGTCCCCAAACCTATATCCTAGACACCCACCTGAGCGACCCATACACCAAAGAGAAGTCCCTATCTGTTTTATGGCCCTGCTGTAAGTTGCCTATATGCAGCCAAAACAGAAAGATAAATGCGGTCAGAGACCTACTAGAGCAGCACCGCCCCCTCAAGATTCTTGAGCCTGCCTGGCAGGGTTGGTCCTACAAAGCCAGAGCCCCCTGATTGGAGAGCATAATATACAAGGACATTCTCAAAGCTGCTAATGAGAACCTTGACGAACTTGTACCTAGCCGGTGGGGATTCCGGTGGGGTACCCCCACCCAGGTAGTGGCAGTGCTGGCAACACTGGCTGCAGTAACCCATGGGGAGGGGGTCACACTCGGACAATCAGAGAAGGGCCATATTACTGCATGGAGGTGCTTGGGAAAATGGTTACAATGGAGGACCAGAGTGTGTGTGTTTCAGGGGAAGGGGGTGGATCTGATCTCCATCACCTAGGACTTGATATAGGTGAATCAAATCTCAAATATTTGAAAATTTTTCCTCAATCTTGCATGCTTTCTCAAACAGCTGTAACTGTATATGCATTCATAAATCAGGTCCTTTCTTGAGTTGGGCTCTGGGATGGCACAACCATTGAGCATCTGAGCTTATGATTGATTGTGGAGGAAAGGGGTTGAGTGTGTAAGTGTGTGTGTGTGTGTGTGTGTGTGTGTGTGTGTGTGTGTGTGTGTGTGTGTGTGTGTGTGTGTGTGTGTGTGTGTGTGTGTGTGTGTGTGTGTGTGTGTGTATGTACCCCACATCTGTTGCAAGAGGGTAAGGATGTTAGGGAGAATATAGGACGAACCACAATAATTGTTTGCTAAAATAGTAATTGCTTGACAAAAATGTAATGTAATGCATTGGCAATCCGGGTTATAGGTAACAATCCTTCGCATGAACTGCCGACATTACTACACATATTAATTGATAATGATGGAAATTAAGATATGCAAGATATTTGAATAGATACAGTACCAGTCAAAAGTTTGGACATACCTACTCATTCAACGGTTTTTCATTATTTTTTACTATTTTCTACATTGTAGAATAATAGTGAAGACATCAAAACTATGAAATAACACATATGGAATCATGTAGTAACCCAAAAAGTGTTAAACAAATCGAAATATATTTTATATTTGAGATTCTTCAAATAGCCACCCTTTGCCTTGATGACAGCTTTGCACACTCTTGGCATTCTCTCAACCAGCTTCCCCTGGAAGGCTTTTCCAACAGTCTTGAAGGAGTTCCCACATATGCTGAGCACTTGTTGGCTGCTTTTCCTTCACTCTGCCGTCCGACTCATCCCAAACCATCTCAATTGGGTTGAGGTCAGGGGATTGTGGAGGCCAGGTCATCTGATGCAGCACTCCATCACTCTCCTTCTTGGTCAAATAGCCCTTACACAGCCTGGAGGTGTTGGGTCATTGTCCTGTTGAAAAACAAATGATAGTCCCACTAAGCCCAAACCAGATGGGATGGCGTATCGCTGCAGAATGCTGTGGTAGCCATGCTGGTTAAGTGTTCCTTGAATTCTAAATAAATCACAGCAAAGCACCCCTACACCATAACACCTCCTCCTCCATGCTTTACGGTGGGAACTACACATGCAGAGATCATCCGTTCATCCACACCGCGTCACACAAAGACACAGCGGTTGGAACCAAAAATCTCAAATTTGGACACCAGCCCTAAGGAGAAATGTCCACCGGTCTAATGTCCATTGCTCATGTTTCTTGGCCCAAGTAGTTATCTTCTTCTTCTTAATGGTGTCCTTTAGTAATGGTTTCTTTGCAGCAATTCAACCATCAAGGCCTGATTCACACAGTATCCTCTGAACAGTTGATGTTGAGATGTGTCTGTGACATGAACTCTGTGAAGCATATATTTGGGCTGCTTTTCAGAGGCTGGTAACTTTAACGAACTTATCCTCTGCAGCAGAGGTAACTCTGGGTCTTCCATTCCTGTGGTGGTCTTCATGAGAGCCAGTTTCATCATAGCGCTTCATGGTTTTTGTGACTGCACTTGAAGAAACGTTCAAAGTTCTTGAAATTTTCCATATTGACTGTCATTTCTCTTTGCTTATTTGATCTGTTCTTGCCATAATATAGGCTTGGTCTTTTACCAAATAGGGCTATCTTCTGTATACCCCCCTACCTTGTCACAACACAACTGATTGGCTCAAACACATTAAGAAGGAAAGAAATTCCACAAATTAACTTTTAACAAGGCACATCTATTATTTGAAATGTATTCCAGGTGACTACCTCATGAAGCTCGTTGAGAGAATGCCAAGAGTGTGCAAAGCTGTCATCAAGGCAAAGGGTGGCTACTTTGAAGAATCTCAAATAGAAAATATATTTTGATTAGTTTTTTGGTTACTACATGATTCCATATGTGTTATTTCATAGTTTTGATGTCTTCACTATTATTTTACAATGTAAAAAATAGTAAAAATAAAGAAAAACATGAAGAGGCGACTCCGGGATGCTGACCTTCTAGGCAGAGTTGCAAAGAAAAAGCCTATAGCAGACTGGCCAATAAAAATAAAAGATTAAGATGTGCAGTCTGAGATATGGCTTTTTCTTTGCAACTCTGCCCAGAAGGTTAGCATCCCAGAGTCGCCTCTTCACTGTTGACATTGAGACTAGTGTTTTGCGGGTACTATTTAATGAAGCTGCCAGTCGAGGACCTGTAAGGCGTCTGTTTCTCAAACTAGACACTCTAATGTATTTGTCCTCTTGCTCAGTTGTGCACCGGGGCCTCCCACTCCTCTTTCTATTCTGGTTAGAGCCAGTTTGCGCTGTTCTGTGAAGGGAGTAGTACACAGCGTTGTACGAGATCTTCAGTTTCTTGGCAATTTCTCGCATGGAATAGCCTTCATTTCTCAGAACAAGAATAAACTGACGAGTTTCAGAAGAAAGTTATTTGTTTCTGGCCATTTTGAGCCTGTAATCATAACCACAATTGCTGATGCTCCAGATACTCCAATTGCTGATGCTCCCGAGTGGCGCAGTGGTCTAAGGCCACAGCTGTGCCACTAGAGATCCTGGTTCGAATCCAGGCTCTGTCGTAGCTGGCCGTGACCGGGAGACCCATGGGGCGGCGCACAATTGGCCAAGCGTCGTCCAGGGTAGGGGAGGCAATGGCCGGCAGGGATGTAGCTCAGTTGGTAGAGCATGGCGTTTGCAAAGCCAGGGTTGTGGGTTCGATTCCCACTGGGGGCCAGTATGAAAAAAAAAAAATATTATGTATGCACTCTCTAACTGTAAGTCGCTCTGGATAAGAGCGTCTGCTAAATGACTGTAATGTAAAATGTAGTCTCAAGAATGCCAGTTTTATTGCTTCTTTAATCAGCACAACAGTTTTCAGCTGTGCTAACATAATTGCAAAAGGGCTTTCTAATGATCAATTAGCCTTTTAAAATTATAAACTTGGATTAGCAAACACAACATGCCATTGGAACACAGGACTGATGGTTGCTGATAATGGGCCTCTGTACGCCTATGTAGATATTCCATAAAAAATCAGCCGTTTCCAGCTACAATAGCCATTTACAACATTAACAATGTCTACACTGTATTTCTGATCAATTTGATGTTGTTTTAATGGACAAAAAAATGATTTTCTTTCGAAAACAAGGACCCCAAACTTTTGAACGGTAGTGTATATATATATATTTGCGGAAAAAAACATATGGGGATTGGAAGTGATGCAGACAATTATGGAAGTTACAATTTATCTGCAATATTAAAGCTGATCTACCCCCTAAAAAAAAATTGAAACAAGAAAAAGTATATATATATATCAAAAAAATAAAATAAAATAAATACTAAAAAATAAACATCCACACTGAGCTAAAGGCTAAAGCTGCCGCTTTCAAGGAGCGGGACACCAATCTGGACAATTATAAGAAATCCTGCTACTACATCGGACAAGCCATCAAACAGGCAAAGTGTCAATTCAGGAATAAGATAGAGTAAGACTTTTAAACATGGTCCTCTGTAGCTCAATTGGTAGAGCATGGCACTTGTAACGCCAGGGTAGTGGGTTTGATCCCCGGGACCACCCATACGTAAAAATGTATGCACACATGACTGTAAGTCGCTTTGGATAAAAGCGTCTGCTAAATGGCATATTATTATTATTAAACAGGTTAACATTCACAAGGCCGCAGGGCCAGATGGATTATCAGGAAGCATACTCAGAACATGCGCTGACAAGTTTCTTTACTGACATTTTAAACCTCTCCCTGAACCAGTCTGTAATACCTACATGTTTCAAGCAGACCACCATAGTCTTTGTGCCCCAGAACGCCAAGGTAACCTGTCTAAATGACTATCACCCCGTAGCACTCACATCTGTAGCCATGAAATGCTTTGAAAGGCGAGTCATGGCTCACATCAACACCTCTGCAACTGGATCCTGGACTGCCTGACGGGCCGCCCCTGGGTGGTGAGGGTAGGCAACAACACATCCGCCACACTGACCCTCAACACAGGGGCCCCTCAGGGTTGCGTGCTTAGTCCCCTCCTATACTCCCTGTTCACCCACAACTGTGTAGCCGTGCACGACTCCAACACCATTATTAAGTTTGCTAACGACACGACAGTGGTTGGCCTGATCACAGACAATGATGAGACAGCCTATAGGGAGGAGGTCAGTGACCTGGCAGTGTGGTGCCAGGACAACAACCTCTCCCTTAACGTCAGCCAGACAAAGGAGCTGATTGTGGACTACAGGAAATGACGGGGCTGTAGTGGAGCGGGTCGAGAGCTTCATGTTCCTCGGTGTCCACATCACTAAGGAATTATCATGGTCCACACACACCAACACAGTCGTGAAGAAGGCACGACAATGCTCAGGAAGCTAAAAAGATTTGGCATGGGCCCTCAGATCCTCAAAAAGTACTTCAGCTGCACCATTGAGAGCATCTTGACTGGCTGCATCACCGCTTGGTATGGCAACTGCTTGGCATCCGACCGCAAGGCGCTACAGAGGGTAGTACTTATGGTCCAGTACATAATTGGGGCCGAGCTCCCTGCCATCCAGGACCTCTATACCAGGCGGTGTCAGAGGAAGGCCCTAAAAATGGTCAAACTCCAGATACCCAAGTCATAGACTGTTCTCTCTGCTACCGCACAGCAAGCAGTACCGATGCACCAAGTCTGGAACCAACAGGACCCTGAACAGCTTCTACCCCCAAGCCATAAGACTGCTAAATTGTTCGTTAATTAGTTAACCAAAACTACCCAGACTATCTGCATTGAGCCGTTTTGCACTAACTCTTTTGACTCACATACACTGCTGCTACTGGTTATTATCTATCCTGTTGCCTAGTCACTTTATCACTACCTATATGTACATACAGTATATACCTAAATTACCTCGTACCCCTGCACATCGACTCGGTACTGGTACACCGTGTATATAGATAGCCAAGTTGTCGTTACTCATTGTGTATTTATTCCTTGTGTTATTATTTTTCTATTATTCCTCTATTCTTCTCTCTGCATTGTTGGGAAGGGCCCGTAAGTAAGCATTTCACTGTTAGTCTACACCTATTGTTTACAAAGCATGTGACAAATACAATTTGATTTGATTTTAAAGCAATGGCACTCAGACATGCAAACATAATAAGGCAACACACAGCCACAAATGAAAGCATGCACGCACGACGGCTCTTAAGCTGAGGCTTTAAATCAACAGTTTAATTAAAATGACAGAACACATTGGGGCCAGCGAGAGGCTGTGGCGGTACAGAGCAGAGCACTGAGGTATTGGTATTTTATTAGGATCCCCATTAGCTGTTGCGAAAGAAGCAGCTACTCTTCCTGGGGTTCACACAAAACATGAAACATGACATAATACAGAACATTAATAGACAAGAACAGCTCAAGGACAGAACTACATCAATTTAAAAAATGTCACACGTAGCCTACATATCAATACATACACACAAACTATCTAGGTCAAATAGGGGAGAGGCATTGTGCCGCGAGGTGTTGCTTTATCTGTTTTTTGAAATCAGGTTTGCTGTTCATTTGAGCAATATGAGGTGGAAGGGAGTTCCATGCAATAATGCCTTTATATAATACTGTACACTTTCTTACATTTGTTCTGGATTTGGTCCTTTTGCTCCATCTCTTTCAACCATATCGTTTTTCAATTCCTCATCAATCCATGGAGCCTTAACAGTTCTAACAGTCAGTTTCTTAACAAGTGCATGTTTATCAATAATTGGAAGAAGCAATTTTATAAATGCATCAAGTGCAGCGTCTGGACGTTCCTTATTAATCACATCAGACCAACAAATATTTTTAACATCATCCACATAAATATTTTGTATGATCTCTTATACACTATTTTAGGCCCAGCTTTCGGAACTTTGGCTTTCCTGGATATAGCCACTATATTGTGATCACTGCATCCAATGTGTACGGATACAGCTTTAGAACAAAGTTCTACAGTATTAGTAAAAATGTGATCAATACAGTACATGTGGATGATCTTGTTCCTGTAGTGTTTGTAAACACCATAGTAGGTTGATTAATAACCTGAACCAGATTACAGGCGCTGGTTACAGTGAGAAGCTTCCTCTTGAGCTGACAGCTTGATGAAAACCAGTCAATATTCAGATCCCCAAGAAAGTAGACCTTTCTGTTTACATCACAAGCATTTCACACATATTATTTAGATACTGACGGTTAGCACTTGGTGGCCTATAGCAACACCCAAAAAGAAAAGGCTTTAGATGTGCCAAGTGAACCTGCAACCACAACACTTCAATAACACTTGACATAAGATCTTCTCTAAGCATTACAGGGATATGAGTCTGAATATATACAGCAACACCTCCCCCATAATCATTCCTGTCTCTTCTATAGATGTTATATCCTTGTATTGCTACTGCTGTATCATCAAATTATTAACTAAGTGAGTCTCAGATATGGCTATTTTCAGCCCTTTCCTGGGTAGCTTATCAGAGATACAAACCCATAGGCTTGGCTCTCTCATCCCTTCCAGGCTTTTGGGAGGGAGGGTGGACAATGAGCCTGTCATAGCGGATGTATGCAATGTCCCCACGCGCTCTGGCTGGGATAAGTTCTTTCCTCTTCTGGCGCACAGCTTCTGGATAGTCCTCGTTGCGGAAGATATATGTTTCTCTCAAGTTCTTGGCTCTTTCCAGAACAACTACCTTGTCCTTGAACCTCAGGAACTTGGCCAATATCGGCCTAGGCCTGTCACCTGGGCTGGTAGTGGGTTTTCCAGTTCTGTGGGTGTACTCCACCTCAATCTTCCTGTGGTCCATCTTCAGTTTCTCCGAGATCATTTCCCTCACTTTGTCCTCAGACTCCTTCCAGGTCTTGTGGAGATTCTACAATTCCGTCCACAACCATGTTGTCCCGCCTTGATTGTCCCTCGAGATAATCTGATTTCATTGTTATCATGGATTTACATACAGAACTGATGTCCTCTCTCAATGACTTACAGATTGCTGTCATCCTGCCGTTCTCTTGTTTCAACTCATCAAGCTGACCCTGGGAGAACTGTCATGGTAGCCACGTAGGTTACGCTGCTGTTACTCCTCGCAGTTCCAGACAGGGCAGGTCACAGGGAAGATTGGAAACAACAACAAACAGCAGGGATCTAGACAACCAAAAGCCCGGAACAATCCGCGGTCCCAGCCACAATGGCTAACCGCGTCGCAGGCTGCGTTCAAGCCAAACAGCTCCTCAGACCTGGCTTTGGTCGGCAGGATCACTGGACAGATAGTAGCAGTCCTAGTAGTCCAACCACATCGCAGGATCCAAACTCAAAAGGTAGCTAGCTACTAAGAAACCTTTCAATAGAATTTCAAAACAACAAACCGAGCTCTCCCTCATTCCGCCTTCAACAGGAAGTGACGTGTACAGTGACATGTACAGTAGCAGTCCTTACCATTGCATATGGCGTTTTCTTCATCAACAAACTAGAACAAGAAAACGTGTGTGTGTGTGTGTGTGTAGTCTCATCTGTGACAACTCATCCTTGCTATTTGATTTTAAAAATCACCAGCCAGTTTATTTAATTTAATCAAGATACTACAGTATTTCCACCTCTAAAGGCATCCACATAAACAGGCCATGCAAATGAAGAACCAACTAGACAGCTTCTCTACACAAACATCATTCCTTAAACTGTTTACATCAGGGATGATTTGCATTCTGCGCTACACCTCAGATATTCATAAATTTTAGATGAGCACATAACAACTCTAAATTCTAACGCTCTAAAAACGTATTTAGATGGTAAATGATACACTGTCTGGCGTAGGAGGACAGTCTGTAGTGAAGCCCTATGTGAGCTGTTAATTACTTAATCATGCTGCTTGAGAAATCTTTCCACAAGGAAAGCTTGACCTCATTAGGTGGTCAGTGATGTAGAATGTTAGCCTGGGTACCAGACCTGTTTGTGCTTTCATTCCACTCCTTGCCACTTCTTGTCATATGTCAAACATGAGTAGAATGATTATAGTCGTGCCGTTTGGCACAACTATGGTATGCATTGGTTGAAGCTCAATATTAAATTAAAATCTCTCTACCATCATATGTAAGCCAATATGACACCAATGTTGATGGAAATTCACAAATAAACTTGATTGGAGGTACACAACACACTCCCCACCTGTTGTCATGATTCGTCCAGCCGTTACCAATAATAATTATACCAGATTTTTGACAGGGTTGTTAGCATTAGGGTCATCAGACAATGTTTTGCCCAAACCTACCTCAAATTCTAGACGTCAGATTAAAACGAGTTACAGTGTCCATAAGGTGGCCATTAGACTTAGATCCATTTGGACTGTCACGTCTACTCCTGCTACCCCGCTCGACGTCGCCGGTCTACTAACCACCGGTCCTGGCAACCATCATTACGCACACCTGGCAACCATTACTACGCACACCTGCTCCATATCGTTACGCATACCTGGACCTCATCATCACCTTGATTACGCTCCCTTTATTTAGCCCTCAGTAGCCTCAGTCATCAGGCAGTCTTGGTTTTGTCACGTTTCGGTACACGTCTCCTGTTTTGGTTATCTGCCTTTTACTATTATTCAACCCACCTTCTGCACCTGCTTCCTGACTCCCAGCGTTCGATTTTACTAAACAGTACTTTCTAAATAGTGTGTAGTACGAGTTTTAGTAAGTAGTAGGCAAGACAGATTTCGGACACAGCCAATAATTGGGCTTGTCTAAACACCTGATCAAACAGGGACCAATAATCCCCTATCCTCCTCTATCCTCCCGGTGTGTGTCCCAAATGGCACCCTATTCCCTATATAGTGCACTACTTTTGAGGTAGGGAATAGGGTGCCATTTGGGACACAGGCCAAGTGTAATAGGGAGCATCTGGGGCTCAAGTAGTTGGTTGGTGCGCCTGATAAGGCCCTAGGGAGAAGATACAATCAGACAGAGACAGATATGATCTGTGGGACCAGCAGACTCCTCCAATAATTATATCAAGCTGTTAATTAGGTTTAGCAACAGAAACATGAGCTACCGGTCCCTGTGGATCCATCATGGCTGACTGGAAACACATTCAACACTGGATTGGACTGTCATCTGTTAAACTGTGGAGCCATCATGACTGACTGGAACTAAGCAGGCTGGCTGAGCATAAACACATGGAAATTGAAACAGTAATTTGGATTGGACAGTGCTAGACTAAAAACATATTTAAAGTGAAGTCTGAAGTAGTGTGAAGTTTGAAGTAATGTGTTACTTAATTAAATGTATGTGAAATCTTTTGAAACAGAGAACGCTGGACAGGATACACATTGAACAGCACTATGCTCGATTGGACAACAAAATACACATTTCTACTCCTATTTAAAAGAAGAAAGAACATCACTTGTTATGATATGGGAAAAAGGTAAATGGCAGGTGTTCTTTGCTGTTATTATACACGAGGACATGACATCAATAATTGTGGTGAAAAAAAGTGGCTTCGTGATGATGAATTACGTTATTGAAAAGAAACCCATCTGTTTGTGTTAGCTACATAGATCAATGTCCGTCTTGTTCTTTATGCTAGAGTACTAGTTCTAAAGAGAGAGAGAGAATTAACAGATGGGAAATAGAGAACACAGCATCTCTACATCTATTCCTTTTCTATGATCCATCCCCATTCAACCAGCCATTGAAACACTCATCTAAGGCCTGTTCTCTTCTGTAGCTGGCATATAAAAGCTGCCCTATGATAAACCCTGTCTCTGAAGTAATGAGAGCTGGGACTGTGGCTGTGTCTGAAATGGCACCCTATTCCCTATGTAGTGCACTACTTTTCACCAAGGCCAATAGGGGAAAGGTTGCCATTTCGAACACAGCATGTGTTCTTTTCAGTCATCCTGTGCAGTGGTTCTCAACTTGTGCGAATAGTACCCCTGGGGTACCTGACTTATCCACAGGGGGTAGGCTACTTAGAAAAGATTCATGCTGTAAGAACATGGTGGTCCTCTGTAGCTCAGCTGGTAGAGCACGGCGCTTGTAACGCCAAGGTAGTGGGTTCGATCCCCGGGACCACCCATACACACAAAAAAAAATGTATGCACGCATGACTGTAAGTCGCTTTGGATAAAAGCGTCTGCTAAATGGCATATTATATTATTATTATAACATAGGCCTAATGATCAGTTGCACATGAGGGTTAGAGCAAAACGTGATTAGGGTTACAGTAACCAAAAAAGGTTGAGAACAATTGATCCAGTGGCTCTGCAGCTGGCCAGTCCCTTCTATGACAGAGGGAGGCTGAGACATAGACATAGAATGACATAGAATAGTAATTATATTCCTATGGGCTGAGGCAGAGGAACTGTGGTCACTAAGACTGCTGTGAGACCAGATACAGCTGGATAGTGTGGCTATTATTACAGAGAGAGGCTGTGGGAGCTGTTGTTGTAAGACTGCAGCCAACCTGTGTGTGTGTATCTGTGTGTGCGTGTGTGTGTGTGTGCGTGTATGTGTGTGTGCGTGCATACGTGTGTGTGTATGTGTGTGTCTGTGTGTGTGTGTGTGGCCTCTGTCTCCGGTTACTAAACAGTCATGGCTGCCATGTAAATCCAGTGGCTTGCGAAAGTATTCACCCCCCTTTGTCACGAATACAGCCAAGGCTGCCCCTCCTCCTTGCTCGGGCAGGCTTCGGCGTTCGTCGTCACCGGAGTACTAGCTGCCACCGATCGATATTTCTGTGTTACACTAGTCTTGTCTTTATTAATCACACCTGTTACCCATTATGCTTATTTGTGTCCCTATAATTACCTCTGTTTTCCCTCCTGAGTTTGTGCGTGATTGTCCGTTGTCTTACGTCGTTTGGTGAGCTGTTGTTCTGCTCTTCCCTGCGTGGAGGGTTTGTTATGGTTTAGTAAATCCATTCATTTTCTCAGTTCTGTGTCCTGCGCCTGATTCCGTTTCACCACTTCACCCAGACGCTGACACCCTTGGCATTTTTCCTATTTTGTTGCCTTACAACATGGAATTAAAATAGATTTTTTGGGGGTTTGTATCATTTGATTTACACAACATGCCTACCACTTTGAAGATGCAAAATAATTTTTTTGGTGAAACAAACAAGAAATAAGGCAAAAAAACAGAAAACTTGCGCATGCATAACTATTCACTGCCCCAAAGTCAATACTTTGTAGAGCCACCTTTTGCAGCAATTACAGCTGCAAGTCTCTTGGTGTAATGACGCTCCAGGAGAGTGAGGATCCATTTGCAGTTTTATTACAATCTGGGTCGTACAAACAGGGTCAATCGCCAGCAGACACAACAGTAGGGATAAGGCAACTCGTAATCCAGGTACAGGCATAAGGTCAGGGCAGGCAGCAAGCTTACAAAAATCAGTCCAGTAAAGAATATAGTCCAGGGCAGGCAGCAAAGAATCAAGGAGGGAAAAACAGTCCAGAGTAAATCCACGGGCAGACAGACACAGGCGAAAACGCTCAGAAATGATCACCAGGGTAAACAAGACTTCGCAAAGAGAGAGAGTTTGAGAGCACCTAAATAGTCTACTGATGGGAGTCAGGTGCAACGGTAATCAGAGCCAGGTATGTGGGAAATGTAGTTCAGGGGTTTAATACTCAGGAGAGGGTTCCCTCTGGTGGTGAGCAGGAGGAACAGCGGGAGTCTCGTTTGTGACACTTGGGGTATGTCTCTATAAGCTTGGCACATCTAGCCACTGGGATTTTTGCCCATTCTTCAAAGGCAAAACTGCTCCAGCTCCTTCAAGTTGGATGGGTTCCGCTGGTGTACAGCAATCTTTAACTCATACCACAGATTCTCAATTGGATTGAGATCTGGGCTTTGACTAGGCCATTCCAAGACATTTAAATGTTTCCCCTTAAACCACTCGAGTGTTGCTTTAGCAGTATGCTTAGGGTCATTGTCCTGCTGGAAGGTGAACCTCTGTCCCAGTCTCAAATCTCTGGAAGACAGAAACAGGTATCCCTCAAGAATTTCCTTGTATTTAGCGCCATCCACCATTCCTCCAATTCTGACCAGTTTCCCAGTCCCTACCGATGAAAAACATCCCCACAGCATGATGCTGCCACCAACATGCTTCACTGTGGGGATGGTGTTCTTGGGGTGATGAGAGGTGTTGGGTTTGCGCCAGACATAGCGTTTTCCTTGACGGTCAAAAAGCTCAATTTTAGTCTCATCTGACCAGAGTACCTTCTTTCATATGTTTGGGGAGTCTCCCACATACCTTTTGGCGACTCTTCCGTAAAGTCCAGCTCTGTGGAGTGTACGGCTTAAAGTGGTCCTATGGACAGATACTCCAATCTCCGCTGTGGAGCTTTGCAGCTCCTTCAGGGTTATCTTTGGTCTCTTTGTTGCCTCTCTGATTAATGCCCTCCTTGCCTGGTCCGTGAGTTTTGGTGGGCGGCCCTCTCTTGGCAGGTTTGTTGTGGTGCCATATTCTTTCCATTTTTTAATAATGGATGTAATGGTGCTCCGTGGGATGTTTCTGATATTTTTTTATAACCCAACACTGATCTGTACTTCTCCACAACTTTGTCCCTGACCTGTTTGGAGAGCTCCTTGGTCTTCATGGTGCCGCTTGCTTGGTGGTGCCCCTTGCTTAGTTGTGTTGCAGACTCTGGGGCCTTTCAGAACAGGTGTATATGTCCAATTTGTAAGTCGCTCTGGATAAGAGCGTCTGTGTAAATGTAATAAATGTATATACTGAGATCATGTGACAGATCATGTGACACAGGTGGACTTTATTTAACTAATTACAGTGGGGGAAAAAAGTATTTAGTCAGCCACCAATTGTGCAAGTTCTCCCACTTAAAAAGATGAGAGAGGCCTGTAATTTTCATCATAGGTACACGTCAACTATGACAGACAAAATGAGAAAAATAAATCCAGAAAATCACATTGTAGGATTTTTAATGAATTTATTTGCAAATTATGGTGGAAAATAAGTATTTGGTCAATAACAAAAGTTTCTCAATACTTTGTTATATACCCTTTGTTGGCAATGACACAGGTCAAACGTTTTCTGTAAGTCTTCACAAGGTTTTCACACACTGTTGCTGGTATTTTGGCCCATTCCTCCATGCAGATCTCCTCTAGAGCAGTGATGTTTTGGGGCCGCCGCTGGGCAACACGGACTTTCAACTCCCTCCAAAGATTTTCTATGGGGTTGAGATCTGGTGACTGGCTAGGCCACTCCAGGGCCTTGAAATGCTTCTTACGAAGCCACTCCTTCGTTGCCCGGGCGGTGTGTTTTGGATCATTGTCATGTTGAAAGACCCAGCCACATTTCATCTTCAATGCCCTTGCTGATGGAAGGAGGTTTTCACTCAAAATCTCACGATACATGGCCCCATTCATTCTTTCCTTTACACGGATCAGTCGTCCTGGTCCCTTTGCAGAAAAACAGCCCCAAAGCATGATGTTTCCACCCCCATGCTTCACAGTAGGTATGGTGTTCTTTGGATGCAACTCAGCATTCTTTGTCCTCCAAACACGACGAGTTGAGTTTTTACCAAAAAGTTATATTTTGGTTTCATCTGACCATATGACATTCTCCCAATCCTCTTCTGGATCATCCAAATGCACTCTAGCAAACTTCAGACGGGCCTGGACATGTACTGGCTTAAGCAGGGGGACACGTCTGGCACTGCAGGATTTGAGTCCCTGGCGGCGTAGTGTGTTACTGATGGTAGGCTTTGTTACTTTGGTCCCAGCTCTCTGCAGGTCATTCACTAGGTCCCCCCGTGTGGTTCTGGGATTTTTGCTCACCGTTCTTGTGATCATTTTGACCCCACGGGGTGGAGCCCCAGATCGAGGGAGATTATCAGTGGACTTCCTAATAATTGCTCCCACAGTTGATTTCTTCAAACCAAGCTGCTTACCTATTGCAGATTCAGTCTTCCCAGCCTGGTGCAGGTCTACAATTTTGTTTCTGGTGTCCTTTGACAGCTCTTTGGTCTTGGCCATAGTGGAGTTTGGAGTGTGACTGTTTGAGGTTGTGGACAGGTGTCTTTTATACTGATAACAAGTTCAAACAGGTGCCATTAATACAGGTAACGAGTGGAGGACAGAGGAGCCTCTTAAAGAAGAAGTTACAGGTCTGTGAGAGCCAGAAATATTGCTTGTTTGTAGGTGACCAAATACTTATTTTCCACCATAATTTGCAAATAAATTCATTAAAAATCCTACAATGTGATTTTCTGGAAAAAGAATTCTCAATTTGTCTGTCATAGATGACGTGTACCTATGATGAAAATTACAGGCCTCTCTCATCTTTTTAAGTGGGAGAACTTGCACAATTGGTGGCTGACTAAATACTTTTTTTCCCCACTGTATGTGACTTCTTGTCACGATCGTCGTATACAGAGGAGGACCAAGGCGCAGCGTTGCAGGCAAACATACTCTTTATTTAGAGACACGATCAAAACAACAAAACGATGACGTGACAGTTCACGGTCTAACACAAACAGACTAGAAACAAGATCCCACAACATTAGTGGGCAAATAGCCTCTATAAATATGGCTCCCAATCAGAGACAACCAGCCACAGCTGACACTCGTTGCCTCTGATTGGGAACCACTCTGGCCAACACAGAAATACAACCTATAGAATATCCACACCCTGGCTCAACATATAGAGTCCCAGAGCCAGGGTGTGACACTTCTGAAGGTAATTGGTTGCACCAGATCTTATTTTGATCTGGTGCAACCAATTACACCACTTTCCATTATTTATTTTTTATAATTTTTTGAAACAAGTTCTTTTTTAAATTTCACTTCACCAATTTGGACTCTTTTGTGTATGTCCATTACATGAAATCCAAATAAAAATCAATTTAAATTACAGGTTGTAATGCAACAAAATAGGAAAAACGCCAAGGGGGATGAACACTTTTGCAAGGCACTGTAAGATCCATTATGACAGAGGGAGGCTGAGGCTGAGGATGGGGAGCTTTGGTGGTCCGGAAGACTTCAGCCAGGACAGATGCAGCTGGGCAGGCCTAATAGGACACCAGGAGGGATCTAAACCCTGTACACTACCATTACCCTCTAAACCCTGTACACTACCATTACCCTCTAAACCCTGTACACTATCATTACCCTCTAAGCCCTGTACACTACCATTACCCTCTAAACCCTGTACACTACCATTACCCTCTAAGCCCTGTACACTACCATTACCCTCTAAGCCCTGTACACTACCATTACCCTCTAAACCCTGTACACTATCATTACCCTCTAAGCCCTGTACACTACCATTACCCTCTAAACCCTGTACACTACCATTACCCTCTAAGCCCTGTACACTACCATTACCCTCTAAGCCCTGTACACTACCATTACCCTCTAAGCCCTGTACACTACCATTACCCTCTAAGCCCTGTACACTACCATTACCCTCTAAGCCCTGTACACTACCATTACCCTCTAAGCCCTGTAGACTACCATTACCCTCTAAACCCTGTACACTACCATTACCCTCTAAGCCCTGTACACTACCATTACCCTCTAAGCCCTGTACACTACCATTACCCTCTAAGCCCTGTACACTACCATTACCCTCTAAGCCACATATGTCAGAGTCAAGGCCCGCGGGCCACATCCGGCCCGCGAGAAGGTTTTTTACGGCCCCTGGGATGATCTTGATTTATTATTAGAACCGGCCCGCAGACCGCAGCAAGCCGGCAGCCCGCATATCTTTTACACGCACCAATACTACATTTCCCACAATGCAACGGTGACGCACCGAGCAGTAGGCTGCTTCATTTCAATATTTATTGGCACAGCAGTCGTCAGCATCACAGTAAAATTAACTTTCAGATACCCATCAAAAATGGCAAAACGGAAGGTGGACACTGAGAACCGGGGGTTTCAAACAAGGTGGGAGTCGGAGTATATGTTCACGGAGGTAGCTGGAAAACCTGTGTGTCTTCTGTGTGGAGAAAGTGTGGCGGTACTGAAAGAGTATAATCTGAGACGACATTATGAAACGAAACACGCGGACAAAAACAAGAATAGGTATGCTTGCCGCTGACTTTCGACGCCGATTTGCTGACTTTGAAGCACAAAAAAGCAGGTTGGAACTGCTCGGTAACCCATTTGCTGTTGACGTGGAAAGCTCACCACCAAACCTCCAAATGGAGTTGATTGACCTCCAATGCAATGATGCACTGAGGGCAAAATATGCGGCAGTGGGTGCTGCGGAGTTCGCCCGTTTCCTCCCCGACACAATGCCCCAGCTGCGCATCCAGGCTGCTCAAACGTTGTCTATGTTTGGCAGCACATACCTGTGTGAACAACTGTTTTCTTTGATGAACCTGAACAAAACATCACACAGAAGTCGACTTACTGCTGAACACCTCCACTCAATTCTGAGGATTTCCTCAGCTCAGAGCCTTACCCCGAACATTGATGAACTTGTGGAAAAGATGGGACACCACCAAGTATCACCCTCAACCTCAAACAAGTGAACATTACTGTGCAATCACATATTTAGAGTTTTTACTCAGTTCAAGTTTAAAAGTTAAAGTTTAATATTTGTTTTCACTGCATGTTACTTCTCCTTAAACAAAGTGTTGTTTTTGATTAATAGATTTTTGCACTTTATTTTATTGTATTTCAATCCAATTATATTTTAAAAATATTTCAGTTGAGTGGATGATAGAAAGTTTTTTTCTTTGAAGTAAATTTAGCCCACTTTTGCTAAAATAGAAAATATAGGCTACTGATGGTGCCTTGAATACCGGTTTCTTTCATTTAATGTTCATGTTATGGGGATTTTTATATAAAGGAAATTTGTCTTTTGTGTCTGTTGAAAATTAAAGATTACTGACAGAGCCATAAGAAAATATTGCTTTATTTATCTGATCATATTGGAATATATTTGTTAGGTTTTCAGTAGGTTCAATTAGGTTCACTAGACTATATGCGTCATTTAAAAAATTTTCAATGAACATTCGAACAGTCCGGCCCTCGGCTTGTAGCTAAATTTTTTATTTGGCCCTCCGTCCATTTGACTTTGACACCCCTGCTCTAAGCCCTGTACACTACCAGTGCCCACTAAGCCCTGTACACTACCATTACCCTCTAAGCCCTGTACACTACCAGTGCCCTCTAAGCCCTGTACACTACCATTATCCTCTAAACCCTGACACTACCATTACCCTCTAAGCCCTGTACACTACCATTACCCTCTAAGCCCTGTACACTACCATTACCCTCTAAGCCCTGTGCACTACCAGTGCCCTCTAAGCCCTGTACACTACAATTACCCTCTAAGCCCTGTACACTACCATTACCCTCTAAGCCCTGTACACTACCATTACCCTCTAAGCCCTGTAGACTACCATTACCCTCTAAGCCCTGTAGACTACCATTACCCTCTAAGCCCTGTAGACTACCATTACCCTCTAAGCCCTGTAGACTACCATTACCCTCTAAGCCCTGTAGACTACCATTACCCTCTAAGCCCTGTACACTACCATTACCCTCTAAGCCCTGTAGACTACCATTACCCTCTAAGCCCTGTAGACTACCATTACCCTCTAAGCCCTGTACACTACCATTACCCTCTAAGCCCTGTACACTACCATTACCCTCTAAGCCCTGTACACTCTGAGCTCTGGCTACTGGAGGGGACTGCTGCTGGGATCCATCCCAAAGGGCACCATATTCCATTTTATAGTGCACTACCCATAAGGCTCTGGTCGAAAGTAGTGCACTATAAAGGGAATAGGTTTCCAGCCAAAATGATTGTCTTAGCGAACTGTTCCAGCCAAAAGGCAGGTAATGGCACCATATTGAGTCACTTATGAGGATTTACGGACACGGTCTTATCATATGGCCAGATAATTAACATAAGGCCTTGCTGGGCTCTGGCCAGGCCTGTTTGGCTGCTACACTACGCCTGGGGGTGACTTTGTGACTGAAGCCAGAGGGAGGGGGTGGAGGGATAGAGGGATGGAGGGGTGGAGGGATAGAGGGATGGAGGGATGGAGGGATGGAGGGATGGAGGGATGGAGGGATGGAGGGGATGGAGCGATGGATGGAGGGGATGGAGGGATGGAGGGATGGAGAAGAAAGGAGGGAGAACATGCCAAGAACTAGCTCCAACCAAAGCTGTGAAAATCACTTTGATAAACACTACACACGCACGCACACACACACATACACACACGCACACACAGCTCAGTTAGAAGAAGTCAGGTCTTCATGGTAAGTGGTAACACATTTGTCAAGGTGTTGTAAGGACTGACATAGCAGCCTTCCTAATGAATACACCTGTCTGTCTCGTGTTCTCCTGGTCCCTGTAATCATCAGTGTACATCATCAGTTTCTTCCTGCCACCATGTTTTGACTCATAGGGACAGAGTGTTGATTGTCCCCTAGCGCTACAGTGAGGCCTAGGGTATGTCCCAAATTGCACCCTAATCCCTACCTTGGGCCCCATGGGCCCTGGTCAAAAGTAGTGCACTAAATAGGGAATAGGGTGGCATCTGTATCTTACTGACAAAACATCTAGCTAACTAACGAGCTGCATCCCTGAGCCCCTTCCTTTACCATAACAAATTCGACAAAAATAATGAATTGTCTTCCCACCTGTTGTTAATTAGGGGCTCTAAACCTTTTACAGTTTTTTACAATCACTTTGGCACTAATTTCAGAACCTTGATGTCATTTTTCAAAACTCTAGACACAAAACTCACAACCAATGATCAAAATGCAAATTTTTCAAAACTCTAACACTTTTTTCAATTGCTTGGATACAATACACATAAAACTAAGATCATTTGTTCATTTAACAAAAATCACCTGTTCAATATGACACAACTTAACATCAAAGTACTACTATTTCAAAAGGCAATTCACACATTACATTTCAGATGAGTGTCTATTCATTTCATTACAATTATCCAACTATTAATTGATACAACTGCTCAAAATGATAAGTAACTGTTGCATTGCTCTTAATGCATAGTTGTATGGAAACAGACAAACAATATTCCATGTTTAGATCATGAAAGTTTCAAAGTAACGAGATTCATTGTCACCAATTAGCGTGGAGCATGAACCAATTAGACTACATTATCTATGGATGTAATATTTCATCATCATTCTTTATCAGACACCGTTTCTATGGTCCCCTTGTAACCTTCCTTGATGAGCTCGATCAGGCCTGTAGAGCTGGTGGCGTGACCTATGTCATTGTGTGGGATAATGTCAGGTTCCACCATGCTCATATGGTGCAAGCATGGTTTCAGGCCCATGCACAATTTACCACCCTGTATTTACCCCCATACTCTCCTTTCCTTAACCCGATTGAGGAATTTTTCTCCACATGGAGATGGAAGGTTTATGATAGGCGCCCTCATGAACAAGTCACTCTTCTCCAGGCCATGGATGACGCATGCAACGACATCACGGCAGACCAGTGTCAGGCCTGGATTCGCCATGGCCAAAGGTTTTTTCCAAGATGTTTGGCTAATGAAAACATCCATTGTGATGTAGATGAGAACCTGTGGCCAAATCCACAAGACAGAGTTGATGAAAATGTAGAAGTACAGTAATCACTCCTATGTTTTGCTTTTTACAGTACAAGCAAGCAAGTTGAGGAACACTGCATTTGATGTTTTACAGTACTGTATTGTTTTTCATCAATATATTTCAGATTTTGTTCAATGATTCCACTGTGTCTGTAGTATTCTCTCTACTACTGCAGTACTTTTACAGGGATGTATTTACATGTAGTACCATAATGAAACATGTATCACCTATTTTGTACTACAATATTTAATGATCGTACGAACAATGACACAGTGAAACTATCGGTTGCTTGTGTGTGGGTGATCTAAATTAACGTTTCATTGGTATTTCACAATACATTAGTTTTTTGAACCAATGATTGTGCAAGTGCAAGATTTCTTTAAAGATATGAATGCACAATGCAATGTTTTGAACATTGGACAGCCTGTGTTACAAGTGATGACCGTTTTGAGTTTTGTGTCTAGAGTTTTGAAAAATGACGTCAAGGTTCTGAAATTAGTGCCAAAGTGATTGTAAAAAACTGTAACTTGTTCTAAGTGCTGTTGTTTACCCTTGGAATGAAGAGACATGACAAGTACACCACTTAAGTGGCAGGATCCCTGCTGTGCCACGCTGTGACGAGCTGTGTGTGTGTGTATTGTGCGTGCATACGTGTGTGTGCGTATGTGTGTGTGTGTGTGTGTGTGTGTGTGTGTATTTGTGCGTGCATACGTGTGTGTGCGTATGTGTGTGTGTGTGTGTGTGTGTGTGTGCGTGTATGTGTGGGCATGTGTGTGTGTGTGTGTGTGGGCGTGTGCATGTGTGTGAGGGTGTGCGTGTGTATGTGGGCGTGTGTGTGTGTGTGGGCGTGTGTGTGTGTGGGCGTGTGTGTGTGTGGGCGTGTATGTGTGTATCTGTGTGTGCGTGTGTGTGGGCGTGTGCATGTGCGTGTATGTGTGTGTGTGTGGGCGAGTATGTCTGTGTATCTGTGTGTATCTGTGTGTGTGTGTGTGTGTGTGTGAGATCCAGGCTTTGCCTGCTGAGAGAGGAATAGAAACAGCAGACAGGAGATGATGACAGCGAGGCGACAGGAGAGGGGGAGGAGAGGGAATGTTAAATACAGATAAAAGAGTGGGATGAAAGAGAGGGATGAATAAACTCCAGATATGAATGGGTAATGAGTGATTAGCCTTGTGTTGTCTGCAGGGAGATGATGGCACATCAATAACAGACAGTCGTTGTGAAAAACTTTTTTATCTTATCTTCCTCTAGCTGCATTTGTACTTTGGAATATCAATGACTAAATGTTTTCTTTATTTTCTACGTCTCTCTGTTCACCCCCCCCCGTCCATTCTGTCTTTCATGCTGTGTTTGTTTCTTTAACCACTCTCTCTACAACCACTCTCTCTACAACCACTCTCTCTACAACCACTCTTTCTACAACCACTCTCTCTACAACCACTCTCTATATAACAACACTCTCTACAACCACGGGGGGCCAGTATAAAAAATAATAATATATGTATTCACTAACTGTAAGTCGCTCTGGATAAGAGCGTCTGCTAAATGACTGTAATGTAATGTAATGTAATGTAATGTAACCACTCTCTCTACAACCACTCTCTCTACAACCACTCTCTCTATAACAACTCTCTCTACAACTCTCTCTAAACCATCTCTTAAACAACTCCTCTACAACCACCTCATAACTCTCTAAAACTTCTCTTACACACACTCCTCTATAAACTCTCTCTATGACTGAATCCACTTTCTTAATACCACTCTCTCTACAACCACTCTCTCTACACACCACTCTCTCTAACACACTCTCTCTACAACCACTCTCTACAACCACTCTCTCTACACACTCTCTCTACAACCACTCTCTCTACAACACACTCTCTCTACAACACTCTCTCTACAACCACTCTCTCTACAACCACTCTCTCTACAACCACTCTCTCTACAACCACTCTCTCTACAACCACTCTCTCTACAACCACTCTCTCTACAACCACTCTCTCTACAACCACTCTCTCTACAACCACTCTCTCCATACACCACTCTCTCTACAACCACTCTCTCTACAACCACTCTCTCTACACACTCTCTCTACAACATCTCTCTACACAACCACTCCTCTCTACAACCACTCTCTCTACAACCACTCTCTCTACAACCACCTCTCTCTACACACCACCTCTCTACAACCACTCTCTCTCTACAACCACTCTCTCTACAACCACTCTCTAAACACTCTCCTACAACCACTCTCTCTAACACATCTCTCTCTCTCTACAACCACTCTCTCTCACACTCTCTCACACTCTACAACCATCCTCTACAACCACTCTCTCTACAACCACTCTCTCTACAACCACTCTCTCTACAACAACTCTCTCTCAACACCACCACTCTCTACAACCACTCTCTCTACAACCTCTCTACACTCTCTACAACTCTACAACCACTCTCTCTACAACCACTCCTCTACAACCACTCTCTCTACAACCACTCTCTCTACAACCACTCTCTCTACAACCACTCTCTCTACAACCACTCTCTCTACAACCACTCTCTCTACAACCACTCTCTCTACAACCACTCTCTCTACAACCACTCTCTCTATAACCACTTTCTACAACCACTCTTCTCTTCTCTTCTCTTCTCTTCTCTTCTCTTCTCTTCTCTTCTCTTCTCTTCTCTTCTCTTCTCTTCTCTTCTCTTCTCTTCTCTTCTCTTCTCTTCTCTTCTCTTCTCTTCTCTTCTCTTCTCTTCCCTTCCCTTCCCTTCTTCCTCCCCTCTACTCTCCTCTCATCTTTATCTCATTATAGTTGAGTAGCAGGAGATAATGAGGTGCCGTGTCCTCCAATCTTCCAACTGTGAGATATAATACATCCAATCTGCTTGTTCCCAGCAGGGGAACAAAGACTCCCCGCAGGCCCACAGACAAGTGAAGACGGTTAACTCCCCCTCGTCTCTCAGCCTCAGTCCTGTGGAGCCGTGTGGGCAGCAGGGTCAAACGAGCCTCCCTCCACCGGGACGAAGCTGAAAGCCTGGGAGAGTTAAACGTCTAGAGGCTTTTAACTGGACAATTCTCAGGAGGAGGTCTGGGAGAGAGCGATATCTTTCCTGTAATGAACCACCTGAAGGACATGTGTAAATATTTTCGATTTTCAGACATAAAACTCTCACTTTCCAACTGGCCAGTGTCGACCGACTGAGGGGGGAAAAGGCAAAGCGCTCACATTTCAAGTTATAAAAAAAAGTATTTATCTAGGTTAAAAACATTGGGGCGGCAGGTAGCTTAGTGGTTAAGAGCGTTGTGCCAGTAACCGAAAGGTCGCTGGTTCTAATCCCGAGCTGACTAGGTGAAAAATCTGCCGATGTGCCCTTGAGCAAGGCACTTAACCCTAATTGCTCCTGTAAGTCGCTCTGGATAAGAGCGTCTGCTAAAATGTAATTGACATTTCGACTAATTGGTCTTAATCAGAAGCACTGCTTTTCGTGCAGAGTGCAGAGCCGAGCTAGACCCAATGCGTAGAGATGCACTGTCAGCTAGGGTTCGCTCTCCACAGAAATCAATCTGAAAGACATTAACATGCAAACAGCGTGGTTTCACTGTAGAGATGTATCATTTAATTTCCCCATTGTAATGCCACTGTCCCTCCAGTGGCTCTCTCTCCCTGTCTGTTATGGCGTGGAATCAGACACGATGTGAGGAGGTTAAACCGAGAAAACAATCACTCACGCTGCATCTAAGACCAAAGCTCCATCTCTCCCGCTCTCTTCAATCCCTCTCTCTCTCTCTCTCTCTCTCTCTCTCTCTCTCTCTCTCTCTCTCTTCATCCCTCTTGCTCTCCATCCCCTTTATCTCGCTACTCTCTATCTATCTCTCTTTCTTTCTGCCATTATCCCACATCACTCATCTCTCTCTCTTATTCTTTTGTCTTTGTCTCTATGGCTGTAGATGATAGAGACAGAGGGGAGAGGGGAGAGGGGAGAGGGGAGAGGGGAGACGTGAGAGGAGAGAGGAGAGAGGAGAGAGGAGAGAGGGGAGAAAGTTTGGCGGCTGAGGAGGACGTTTTGGAGTCTGCTCATGTCAGGGCGATTCTTTATCTCAGCGTGACACCGCTGTCCCTGACTGCCTATCTGTCTGTCTGTCTGTTCCTGGGGATAGGGGGAGACGGGGGGATATCTCTTAAGTGACAGTGACAGCTCTGACACTGACTGACAGACTGGAAGCAGAGAGAGAGAAAGAGAGAGAGGGGGGGGATAGAGACACAGATGCACAGTGAAAAGTTATAGTAATATTGGCCCTGTGAGAGAAAGATTGGCCCTGTGAGAGAAAGATTGGCCCTGTGAGAGAAAGATTGGCCCTGTGAGAGAAAGATTGGCCCTGTGAGAGAAAGATTGGCCCTGTGAGAGAAAGATTGCTGAGTTGACGAGTGAAGTGCTGTAAAATAAGTACGATGATGAAAGAGAGACTGGAGAGATGATGATGAAGGTTATGATGAAGGGAGCAATATAAAAGAGAGAAACAGAGAGAGGGGAAAGTGTAGAACACAGCTATTGTGAGGTTGTCAGAGAGAGAGAGAATGCTGGGAAAATGAGTGAGCAGCTAGGAGACAGACAGAAGGGTTGGAGAAAGTGAGAGAAAGGTCAAGAGAGGGAGTATGTATATTGATTATGATGATCAGGTCAGTGAGATAGGGAGAGAAAGAGAGGGTGGGAGAGAGAGGTCAGAGGTCAAAACAGAATTGGAGGGTCAGTCCGTCCACCTGGTGAAGGAGAGAAAATCTGTGATATTATGAACCTTCCTATCTTCACCCTATCCAAATCAATCAGGTTTAGCGTTGAAATTCATTCAGACAAGTGCACTAAAGATAGACTTATAAGTGTCCTCTCTACACTTGACACCTAAACCTGAGCTCATACAGGCTGAACTTGGAGTCATTGAGGCAGAGAGGATGGTTTCATAATGATACATGAAGCCTGTTTTACTGGTTCATTAACCAGCTGTAATACCCGGCTCTGCGGCCGCCTGACCCTGGCTCCGAATCTAACGAAAGGGGGAGGGGAGGAGAGGAGGGGGGGG